TCCTTCAAGTCCATTTTAACTGCAGTTACTAGTTAAATAAAACTCTTCTTCGTCCTTTAACTGTATTTCAGTAGCGTGAGAAGTCCAGTCTTTCATAGAAAGATTCCTTAGAAACTTTTATGGTTTTATAATAGAAATGTTGGAAACCTTACATGCTTACATAAACTGCTTGCTAACATTGTAAAGTATTCAATAGCAATAAAGGCGTAGTGAGAATGGTGGTTATTCTCTGTGTTCTTTATGAAACCGCAAAGTATAAACACAAAACAAGCTTAATTTCAGTCATAGTTTATTGGGTGCTGATACTAATCATGATTAAAATAGGATTTCCCATTGTTTTGGTTTAATTCCCCTGGAAGGATATGATAAAATGAGTGTCTCCAGAATTAAGACATTGACGACGTGATTGTGTGGATATTCCGAAGACTTCAGTGGCGAAGGAACAGAATTGTGTTGAGCACATATGCCCATCTGTTGTGCATCCATGTGGGGAGTGCTGGGGAAATGTGGAGGGTGCAGTTCTGGGTTTGTTTCTTTGTTGTTTGGGTGTTGTTTTTTTTTTTTAATAAAATTGTGTTTGAAAAAGTAATTATCATTAAGTAGAAGAGTCGTAGCAGAATCAGTTCCAGCTGTGGAACTGCTGATACACATCCTCTGGTATGTGAGGGGTGTTGGTGGTCTTTCTAATGCAGTCATCTTACCACAATAGCAGCAAGGCAGATACTACACTCTCTTCTTGATTTTGCGGTCGGAAGTGTTATAGTGACAGCACGTTGGGTAAATACTGAGGGAGGGGGGAAATCACTTCCCCCCTTGTCACCTACTGAGACAAGTAGGTATGTGTGAGGAGCCATGGTGTGTATGCTCTGTGAATGTTGGGGATGGATGAGGCAGTGATGGGAAATGCTTTTGCTCCCTCATACCCTAATCCCTCAAGAGTCTTGGAGCAATTAAAGAAGAGAGGTTTCCTTTCCACCAAGTTTTGTTTTCCTTTCAGCAATATTTCTGTTTAGTCCCCTTAATTTCTTACTGCTGCTTTATGGAACTAATAAAGCAGGGTCAAATTACGGTGTGAAATGGGTAGGAGAAACTGAGATGCTGCAGGAAGTTTCTTGGATTTGAGAATCTTTTAACAGTTAGAAGAATGAGGTTTTCATTTTGCAGAAGGTAGGAGAGCAACCTGAGGGTTTCGTTCTGCAATGCCAAGAGCTTCCTGGAGGCAGGATAGCTAGCGTACTGAGGTGACATTATTTTATGACCAGATGGGGTAGGATTTCTCATCTTTCTCTTCCTTGTTCTTAAGTAGCCCGATGGTAAATTAGTGATTACAGGAACCATCATTAGGAACCCTGATGATGCATGCTTCCCAAGAAATGCGCTGGTGTAAACACGAAGGATGTATGCAAAATTGAGGAGCTGAAGTTCTTCAGAAGACCCCTCGTGCCCTTAATTCTGCTTGTGGCATTGTGCCTCGAGAAATTTATCTTGTGCATCCTTAATATCCATTTTATCAGTTACTGGGTATGCAATTTCAGCTTGTAAAGTGGCACATTTTTTATAACAATTTTTTTTCGTAATATATACCTGCAAATAGGAGTATTTCCAGAATGCTTTATAATACTGAAAGCAGAGTTGCACGAAGAGTGAATTGCTAAAGGAGCACAAATCTTTTCGTGAGATGGTTTGTTGTTTGTCATGCTGAGCGACGTTGTGTGGCAGTGCTTGGAAGATGGTCTGTGATACAAGTACTTTATATGGCTTGTTAAGCTCTGAAATGGGACAATATGAAGAGGATGCTATGAAGGATTAATGGGACAACAAAGCAGTAGGTATAGTGTTGGAAAGCTCTTCCTGAATAAAGTCAGTGTTACATGGTATACATGTTCAAAATCGTGCAGCAGAGAAAGGTTGATGATAGCTTGTACTGTAGCCTGTATTTCTGAATAAATATAACCTTAGTGGTGGTTTTTAATTTATTTGTAATTTTCAGCTTCTTAAAGTATAATATGCATTCCTGTTTTTTTTAATGTAATCTCTTATTCATCAAGATTAATATATAAATAACTTTATTGCACCACCAAACAATAAAGAGAAAAAAGTGACACAAAGTAAATCTCATTTTACTGCAGCCTAAAATTGGTTTTGTGGCTTTTTAGGGCTTGTCTCCCAGGGACATTGACAGCATAGCTGTTGTGTAATAACTGTTTAGCTGTATCTGCGTTGTGCAAATCCCTGAGGCTGGTATTATATTCCTGAGCAGAAACAACATCTTTCTAAAAGTATAATATTTGAAGTAATGGCTATACTTTGTTGGTAGGTAAGGCAGAGGAAATGAGAGCCACCTTGCTGCTGAGTGAGGAGGACTGTGTTCTCGTTGAGCACAGTTTTAATAAACCTGTATGCATCAACTTCCTATTGATTTGTTTTCCTTAATTTTAGCGAACGTCTCTTCGTAGGCAGGTTGATGGAGATAGATACGGCTGCAGCAAAGGTGGAATGAATCCCTGATGACATGCTGTCATATGTAGTGTATATATTGCTTCATTATTATTACTGTTTGAATCTATAAAAATATAAATGTATCTTGATCTTAATGTCTGCTAATATTTGTCTATGTGAGTGTATGCACAGGTCTTTGTTTCTTACTGGCTGACACGCAGAATGAGAGAATGACTGAACAGAGGGTTCTTCTGTGCTTGAGTGAACAAGGTCATATTTTACTTGGTAGTAAAAACTTCAATCGTGATCCGCTTTTTAAGTGACAAAGCAAGTTGCCCTTGGTTTTGGTTTCATAGTTAAGTGTCTTCTTTATTATGATAAGATGACTTTAAAGCTTGTCTGCAAGAGGAGTAAAAGGAAAAAACAAATTGGCAAGAGCCACTCCAGGTTTAGGCTTCACAGTGCCTTGGTGTTGTCTCCATTCTTAAACAGGTCTATCTGCTCCCTATTCTTGCCCACACTGGGATATGCCAGAGGACTTAACATGCGTGCTCAGGTCTCTCTTCTTGTCTGATACGTTTTAGGGTAGACTCTAGTCTTAATGGCTGTCAGGTATCTCTTGGAGGAAGGTAATATGATGCAATGTCCTCTGGCTCCTTCTCATCCACACACCTTTTCCTCTGCAGGATCTTTCACCTGGGCCTGCATTTCTTCAGTACCTCTTTCTTTCTACCCTCCATGTCTCATACACTGCCTAGAAATTCACCTATTCCCAGAGTTTCAGCGGAAGGCTTTGCAGGGAAGGGCTACTGTCGTCTTCATACACTAACTATTTTTGAGTGAGCAGATGTGGCAGCAGTGGCACAATCAGTTCTGTGCGGCGTTTTTTTTCTGAATGACGGGAGCAGGTTTTTCCGATCTGCAGTGGTGAAGTGGGCCTTCTTTATGTCTGAGCAGAGACAAGGAATAGATAATCCCCCTTTATCTGGCAGTGACCTACATTCAGAAGATGCTATGAATAGTGAGAAGTTTTCTATTTGAAAACTGCCCAGTAAGTTGAGGTGGGTGAAAATGAGTGCCAAAATTATAGAAGGTAAATCACGGATGAAGAAGGGAATAAGAGGATACACTGTCTTCTCAGAACAGAATTAAGAAGTTCCAAAAAATGAGAGAAGTCCATTCTTTGGGGACATGGGTCTTCGAAAGTTTAAGAGAAAGTGGTAAGAACTTCCATTGTGTCATCTGGCCCTTCAGACTTCAAGACCAAGGTGTATGAGTTAGGACCGAAACTCCTTCTAGCTCAGTATTTCAACTCTACCAATGGCTGAAGCTTATACCACCTTATAACTCCTCAGAGTATCTTCCCTGCTCTTTGAGACTTAGGTTTCGTGAGACAGAGATGGCGTCTATATTGAGTGGCCCCTAGCATTTTGTTTTTCTGTGAACTTGTGTGAAAAACATTACTTCCACACTGCGCACGGATAAAGTTTGGTTCTCAAATCCAAGCACCAACTTCACCTCACTTTCAGGAATGGTGGAGTTAGTTTCATTCCAGTTCTTAGGCAGTTGGCAAAACCGGGAACACAGGAACTTAGCCTCTCTGAGAATTACCTCTGACAGGGATAATCTGATTGAAGATCTTGGCTGCGCGTTCTAGCCACCATATCATCTCGGATAGCTTTTGTACAAGGTTAGTGTCGAACTTCCCCTGAGGTAGTTTTGCAGGCTTTTTTTAATGCTTTACATCACTTGTGTTTTCTAAACAGGTTTTCACAATTTTTGCTACTTAGCTTTCACAATTGTTGCTACTCTTTAAAAGTAGCTTTAATATATCAAACAGCTGCTATTAAATTAAATGTAATTAAAGTAATTTTCAGGGGTAATTTTTTGAAAGCTTTTAAAAATTGCTGAATAATCCTGTAGCAGAACTTGTCTTCGCAGAACATGAGAGCCTAACAATGGCTCACGGCCCTTCCTATAGTCTGTTAGTTTTTATCGCGTAGTAGATTACTTGATCATAGGCATCGTTGGGATACATTCCATGGTCAAATCAAAGCATGACTATCCAGGAGCTGGTTTAAATTTTAAAACGTCTTTGACCTTCCTTGATTTCATGCTTAGTTTTTACATGGAAGGACTTTATTTAAAACGCTGAGGAGTTGTTCCTATTTGCATTCTGTAGTTTTATTTTTGGGATGTGTCTTGTCTAGTCTAAGCAGACAGACACTGAGCAGAGAGTAGAATATAAAGGTTGAACAGCAAGTGAGTTAGCAGTTCAAGTGTAGCCTTCTGTTACAGGTTACAGGCAAAGACAAATATGGAGAATGAATGGAATAAGATGAAGAAAAGTTCATTTAATAGCATGGGATAGTGGGGGTGACTAGAGATTATTAAAAATGAAAAAAAAAAAGTCTGCAAAACATGCCAAAAAATCCTGTCAGTTTATTTAAATTTGGGGAGGGAACAACATAATAAACAGAAATATTTTCTGTAATCATATTGTCTCAGAAAATGTATTCTATATGGTCGTCTCCTTCTGAATATATTCCTCTGTTGTTTTTCAGGTTTCTGTCCTCTACATTGTACATCAGTGGGATTCACTCTGCTGGAACAAGATAATGTCGTCTTCAACCCGCTGAAGGAAAGAGGTGAGCAGCTTTCTCGTGGTCAGTATTTTATCTCTTTTAGAAAGCAGTGTGCCCTGGAAGCAAATATCATTATGTATTTTGATGAAAAGTGAAGCCAGTTGTAGATGCTTTTCATGTGTCAAACAGGTTTGCTGTTTCGATTTTTGTTTCTTTTTAACTTTGTATTTAACTTTGACTATAAAGATCTGTGTTATAGAGCAAGTGCCAGGACTGAAGTTAAATAATAATGAACCATGCTGAATCTGTCAATCATCCATTTCTCTCTGAAGGACTTCAAAGGAATGTGTACAGGGGAAAATTAGAAGGAACGATTACTTGTTAACAAGTCTGTAGGCTAGTTTCTTCACAATCCTAAGACAGTTAGTGGTTAGTTTATACCCTGAGGCATAACTATTTATATCTCTTACAAACATCTGTTGTTGCTTGTATATGTTAGAAATGATATTACTGAACTCCAACAGCTTATTTGCACCTTATGTTAATGTTACTGGGTGGTCCCTTTGCTCTTAATTATGAAGGAGTAAGCAGAGCAAGTGAGGAGTGATGTATGTTAAGTGATCGCTTCGTGTACATGTTTCAGCTCACCTTTAATCTCTTCTCTTAGATACTCCTTAACTTGTACAAAGTCGCCACATTTCTAATTGTGATTACTCCTCTTCATTTAGCTTCCTTTCTACTCTACGGTTTTACCTTATCTTTTATTAAAGGCTTGAATATTTTTTGCTTTCGCTTTGTTTTGCAGAACACAATACTTTTATGAATTCCCTTTTGTAGATATCAGTGGAGTTTCTGACTGCAGTTCAAGCATCAGCTTCCAGTTTATGTGACCTTAAATATTTCCTTGGGTTTTCCTCACGCTTTGTTTTCCAAATAAATAGAATGAGAGTTAATTCTGTTCCGCATGAAGCAGACTGGCGGACTCCCTGAGCCTGGGGTTATTTTTGTTACTTGTAACTCTTTGAATATAATGCAAATGCACAGTTTTCCTTCCACTCTCGATTTCTTTAACAAAGAATAATTGGCATTTTTAAAGCTAATTTGTCCAGGAGTCATGTGTTCTTGGGCCCACTTCAGATACTTTAGGCCATGTACTATTGGGTATAGCTGTGCTGGTTAAAGATGGTCCTGCTGTGAGTTGATAATCGCCACACATGAGCTAGAAATTACCACACTAGTAGGTCAGCCAAGAGCAGGGGTTGTATGAGTGCACAGCAGTGTGCTTCAAAGTCGGCTGGTTTACATCATGGCCACCTTTAACAGTGGGTTGAACTAGCCTAGCTGACTTCATGTAAAAAGGCTCAGAAATCATCCACGTGTTCTGTGCGCTCAGTGGTGGAGCTGTGGAAGTAATTAGCTCTGGCAGGGTGGCAGTGATAAACATCTGGGAGCGATACCAGCTTCATCTAGCGTCGTTTGCAGAATGAACATCTGCTTAGGCTGTGTATCTGCTAACTAGAACTGAATGCTGTATCTTAAATTAGGTTATAAAACCTAAATGTGTAAATACCTTTTCAGTTATTTTTCTTAAAGGTTTGACATAGTTTGTTTCTTACCACTACTGAGTAATGAGGAGATGTTTCTCTTTAGTGAACCGAAGTAATTTCTCAGTTAATTGCCTCAATTTAAGTGTGTGATTAGCTCAATTTGTTCTTCTTGACTTGCAGTAGTTGTCTGCACTAAATCTCATCAGTTGCTATGTTGCCTAATAGCTTAATCTTCTTCTACTGTAATTATAAGTCAGAGGGGAAGCTCTTACGGGAAATAAAGGATATACCCATGCAGAATTCTTTCCAGCCATTCCCCTGGGAGACAATAGGGCTAAAGTCCTTCTTGATGAAATAATCTATGGATCTAGCTCAAAAGCTGTGCACCTCTTTCTTCCTTTCTGTGGCCTGCGGGATTTCCAGATGTGAAATGTCTCTTCCTTATGGAAATCTGGAAGGAAGGGTTGGTCCAACTTGTCTGATTCTCTACAAATTCTTGCCATGTCCTATTGTCTTCACCAGATTACATGTGTTATCTTTGTTGCTTCCCTCTCCACGTTGTTCTTTGTGTCACTAACATGATCTCACGTCCTTGCTAACTCTAAGACATTCTTCCTCTTCTGTGACTGTTACGCCTCTTACTCCCTCATTTCTGAGTGAGAACTTCATCTTTCCCCCACAGCCAAACAGGATTTTTTTTAACAGCCTTTTGTGAGGAACTTCTCCAGCTTCTAAAACAATAGTGTTTACTCTTTATTTGTTGATCTGTTCAACTGTTCTACTCTTGTTTTGAGGGCAGTCTGGTCTGCGCTTTCGTATCACCACTAGGAAGGCAGTGTGTGCCTTTTGAGAAGGAAAAAAAGCAGCATTTTGTATGTGCCCATTCACTCTATAAATACAGACACTAAAGCCCCATTTGTAAGTTACCATTTTGGAAAGAAAATAAAAGTTTAAACGTTAGGCATATGCTTACAAGGCTGATGTTTTAGAATGTGTCCCCTTGAGGTGTTTTGAAAGGCAGCTTACTTTGCTATTGGGACAAATGCAGATTTAACTTTATCATGAAAAGATTCATAACTGTAAAAAAAAAATCTAAAATTTGCAGTACTTCCATCAGCGAGTGCATTTATGTTGTTCCCTTTTTTATTTTGGTGGAGAAATCAGTAATATTCTTGGAGTTTCAAAGAGATACTGATGTTGTGTAAGACAGATGAACTGGAATCAGAAAATACTTCAATTGAAGCCATTAGGAAAAAATCTAAATGCACTCCTTCCCTCTGTAAATTGTACTCTGAAGAAAAACATACTTTAGCGTAGGAGTTCCCAGACTGTAGCATACATTTTAGTCAGTATTTCCCAAGCTACCCTAAGATGATCTGTGCATATTGTCTACAGATAGAAACTTGCTCGGCTTTGTAAGCACATGACCCAGTGCCAGAACCAAGATCTGCTCTGTCTGCTCATATTTGTGGTTCCCACGATGCTTTTGTGTGCGTAAAATGGCATAGACTCCCAAAGACTTAACAGCTCCATTGAAGCACGAGCGAGTGTAAGTCAATAACGTAGTTTGTAAAGTGATGCTTACGTCATCCTGATGAACTTCTTTGGTCTTTAAAGCTGTTTTAAAAAGAAAAAAGAAAAAAATTACAGTAACACTTAGGAATTGCACTTTGAATAGAACTTGATGCAAAATAACATTTGAGGTTTGCCCTGAAGAGTTAAGTTTGTCTCTGTGACTGAAACTGTTACGTGAACAAGAAGGGGAATCTTGAAATTTGTGCTGTGTTTCCTAAATGAAACTTTCACTCGAGACTATTACAGTTTGTGGGGGAAGATACCCAGAAAGGTAAAAATTGCTCTTCACAGTGGTCATGTACTGTAGCAGTATGCAATGGTGAAAGAAAGATTTAAAAATAGTTGAAAGATTTGTAGCAATTGAACACATTACAAAGAAAAAAGGTTTTTGTTTCATATCTTAAACTGGTAAAAATTCCAGTACTTGGTTCCTCAATACTGACGTAAGTGGAAGAGAGAAGAAAATCTGGAATGAATACCTGGATGTAATCTTTTTCAAGACACGAGCTCTGTCTTCTTTTTTAATAGGAGTGTTTTTTGTAGTAGCTAAACATTAGGACTCCTGAGTGTCAAGGAGAATTGAGTTCTGTGGTAATAGCTTAACGAATTACACGATTTCAGTCGTAATGTCTGCTAATCTGCCAAGAAAATGAAATGTAAATTAGTAAATTCGATGGATGAACTCTATACGATGGTGGTGATGTGCTAATTTTTTTTTTTTCCAAGCTACTGAACGTCGAACTTTAAAAGAATGTTTAACTCATCTGGGCACCAAACTTGAGCTAGCACTTAGAGGGAATAACATGCATAAATTTACTTGTGTTATAAATCCTACTAAAATGAATACTTCCCAAAGTATCAAATGTCTATGAAAATGAGAATTCCGAATTCCTAGGTCACTTTTGAAACTATATAATCATATAGGCCCAATCATTTAAAAGTTGTTAGATGTTGTTCCATTCTTTGTTTGAGCCCTAAATGACTTGCATGGTAGATTCCTGATGTCAGAAGTGATTTGAGGTTTCTAAAAGTAATTTCAGGCCCTAACTTCAGAATATGGGATTCAAACTCATAAGTAGGATATTCCCTAATGATTTTTACATTTTGACTTTTTACTTCTGTTACAGTAATGCTCAACGTGTTGTTAGCCTTTTCACAACGCAGAAACCTAATTTTTTGCTCATTTCTAGATTTTCTATATTACCTTAGAATAAGCTAGTTAAGTAGTGCAAAAGTAAATGCTAGAGCTTACTTGAAGTTTGTGAATGTGAAAGAACCTCTGGCTTTTAATAAAAATCTGACGTTAAAATATAAAATGACCTTTTGCTGACGAAAACTGTTGCATTTTCCAACTTTTTTTTTTTTTTTAAAGAGTATGCACGTAATTATCATTGCCAGTAAACTCACTCATGTTTTGCAGGGAGTTGTGCATAAATCCTTATCTTTCATTCATCTCTTAGAACTGCCTTCCGAGCGGTCGCTTTTGTAATTGACTTTTTTTTTTCTTTCAAAGAATATTTGCTCATACTTATGATGATTTGACATACTTAACGTTTTATTAACCATGATGGCAACACAGACATTAAGTATAGACAACTATCAAGATGGACAACAGGTAGGTTTGTTTTTCTTTCTCTGTGAGCTAAATACAGTTAGCAAGAGGGGAAAAAGGTAGTGCCTTTTTCCTTGCTGCCTGCTTTTTCCTTGTTTAAGTATATGTTCTTGTTTGTAAAACAGGATCTTTAAAGTGATAGGACGCTATTCTTTAATATTTGGATACTTACTAAATGCCTAGCTAATCTTTGTGTGATTTTGCTTAACTTCTGGAAGAATGGTTAGATAAGGGGTTTTCTGAATCTGCTCTAGATGATTTGTGTGCTCTAATGTTTCTATTTTTAGGAAAGTCAAATGGGCATCTGTAATATTCTGTATATGATACTTCACTGTTCTTATGTGTCTGTAGGTGCAGTAAATAGGTGACGTTTACAAAGTCCTAGACTTCTTGGTCTTGAGCAAGTGAGGGATAAGTTTAGTAAACTAGAATCGTGTGATACTTCGACTACATTTAAGTTGATGCAGTTATGCTGCAGGCTGAAAACTTGTAAAATACTTGTATTAATTTTAATGTGGTTAATGATTAGAATTTCTAATTAGAAAGCTGGTCAGTGGGCTTCAGTTTTTTATTTCTGTTAACAAGCAGAATAATGAAGCATACACAGATATGTCTGGTCATGATGTTACTTTTTTGTACAACAGGCTGTATATTGCAACAATTTGAGTTGCAAAATTAAAATACTGTTAACTGGAGACAAGTCGTGCCCTGGCCTGTACTCTGAAGACCCATTTTTACATTACTATGTGTCAGCCCTGAACAGTAAATACAAGTACTTCTGTCAGCAGATGGCAACAGTGGCGAACAGTCAGAAGAAAACCAGCAACTTTTCGCATCTCTTATGAAAAGAGATGGGAAATGATCCAAATGCAGTCTGGGGTTGTTGATGGTTGTTTGCTCCTTTTATTACAATTCTAGTTTTTCTCTTTCTTCTCACCTACCTTACATCTTTTACTTTATACCCCCAGCAAATACATGCCATCCTGGGACACAGCAGTGAAAGTAATAGATGTTTTTGTAAAGAACGGATTGGGAGAAAGCATTCTCATTCTGTTTGATTTGTATTTTAAGCTCTCAGTGACCAAGATAGATGGGTAATTTGAGTGCCTGTAGTTTGGAAGTGGCCCACAGAAAATAGCTTGCAGTTTTAAGTGAGCTATTTCCTCCTTCTAGTGAGATAGAGCCCTAACTGAACATGGTCTCTCCCTTCAGACTCTGCAGATGTATGGCTCGGCATTTATAGGCAGTTGTATAAGTCATCCGCCTTTATTTTGCTCCTCCTTCTTGTCATTAGCCATGAAATGAGTCCATTAGTTGCATCTTTTTTGTGAGCATTCTGGCTTTAAAATCATCTGTGCTTGCTGAGGGAGCTTTTTGCAAGGCAGGCTGCTCTGTTGGGTAGGAAACACTGACATTTTCTCCGCTTCTGATTTTGCTAGGGGATGGCTTGGCCCCAGCAGGTAATAAAGTACAAACCTTATGGTTCTCCCAGACATCTTGTTGGGAATAGTATAAATTCCTTTTGCCTATGTTGCGTGGAAATAGATTAAATTCTGTCAGAGTCAGGTTCTCTACTAGTTTCTGGAGGCCAGTCCTCCTCTTGGAGGGTTCCCATGAGTGATATGATACGTACGTCTCGCGGGAAGAGGGCAGAAGATTGCGTTCTCTACGCTTCCCATCTGCAGGTGTCAATTCTGGCTGCCTGGTGGTATCTAGAACAGTGTCTGTCCTCTACTCGAGATAAAGTTTGTTAGGGTTAAGGTAGAAAATAAGATTGCAGTGATTTCTTGCCTTTGTACAGATGTTCCCAATGCTCAAAGGGAAGAAACACAAGGAGTTTGGGTTGGGGGTGGAAACTGACTTTCAGAGGTCAGGTTCCTTTCAGGCTTTTTAGTCTGAAAGATATTTAGCTGGAGGTCACGGGAAAACCACTTTCAACATCTTCAAAGCAGCTCAAAGGCATTGGAAGGCTCTAGTGCAATGTAGGAGGTGCTCAGCAGAAGCTGCGGCTCTGTATTGTTTTTCCAGTGGTGTCAGATTGAGCAACTGTCTGTAAAATGGGTTTGTAGAAGCTGTTACTGCTGTTTTCACCAGTAGCTTGATACTCCTAAAATAATTTGGTATTGCAGTATGTAAATTTGAGGGGTAAAGCTCAGGAGTGGTTATGCTCCTGATAATTAAAATATTGGAGGGGCACAAAATACTTCAGCCGATTATAAGAAAATGACAAGAAAAACTTTAAGATCTCTTTTCTTCACTGTCTTTACATAAGGTACAGTAAGAAGAAAGAAAACTTAGAGTAGAAATGTTTTCCTTTCTGTTGTTCTCATGCTAAAGGCTTTTTATGCAGACATCCCCATAAATTTTTTTGGGGAAAAAAAAAAATCCTGTTTTTTGCTAGCCTATTCCAAAAATAGGCACTTCAGAGGCAAAATGCTTTAACAATTTCCTAATGTCTGTCATTCCCATTTTAAAGCTGAGTGCTGAAACTTGAAGTGACCTTTACACTACTCATCAAAAAGTGTCAAGGATTAAAAGAGGGGTTTTGTTACTGCTATGGCTTTTTGTGTAACTGCCAAGTCATACCAACCTTCTGGCAATTTAGTAGCCCCTTTGCATTGCTATTTCCTTAGAAAACAGTACACTTATTTTACGTCAGGCATACAGATTTACTTACAATTTACTCTTTTTCTACAGATGCAAGTAGTAACAGAGTTAAAAACTGAACAAGATCCCAATTGCTCTGAAACTGATGCAGAAGGGGTGAGTCCTGCCCCTGTAGAATCTCAAACTCCAATGGATGCAGACAAGCAGGCCATTTACAGGTAGTAATGGACTCGTGTTCTGTCTTTTGAAGGGTAAAGAGGGTAATTTTTTTTTTTAACTTATAAGTAGCTTAAAATCAGATGATCTCGTCGCTAACTGTCTCAGTAGTTTGCAGGGAAAGAATGAGATCAAACTAGCTTCACCGTCAGTCTTCCAAGAAAAAAACTTCCCTTTATTGTGGGATTCTTCAATTTCAGCATTGTCAAAAAGGGTATTCTAAAGGCGGCTGCATTTAAAGCACAAGTAAATTTAGCAAGCTGCTCGGGTGTTGAACTACTGTGGTTTTGATCTTTAATGTGAGATTTTGCTTTTATTGTAAGTAGGTAGATCTTTACTCTCTTTTCTTTAGGGTTAATCTATTGCCCAGTAATTAGCTCAAACTGGATTAAATGTTCATCTATAAAACCACTAGTTTGAGATTTTCCTGTGTTAAATGCATGTGAAGCAGTATGAGTTTTGTTGAGGTTAAGTGTTCTTTCACTTTGCTTTTTTTTTTTTCTTTCACAGTGCTTTTTAAGTCCTTCATTATTACCAGTTTGCAGATTTAAAAACAAAACAAAAGAAAGAAAGAAACAAACAAAAAACCACTAAAGCAGAAAGTTGTATCCAGTCATTTACAAACTTGTGCTAACAAAATCATCATCTGCTGTGAGCATGATTTCATGGGAGGCCTCTGAGTATAGCCTGGATCCTATTCTTGGTTCTGTAAAGTTATCTGTGATGTATAAATAAGGCCCACATTGAAGAATAATTTGTTCTTCATTCTGTCAGACTTTATTTCATAAATTAAATCTGTATTCATCCTATTTGGAAATCCCAATCCTCATTTCTAATGCTCTGTATTAATGTATTTCTTGCTACTCAGTTACAATGAATTAAATAGTATGTCATAACTTTTTAGCTTGTGATTGCTGTCTTTATTCAAGTAGACATATTTTACTGCTTTACTTGCCTCTAGAGTGTGTGATAAATCAAAATGGAAAAAAGCCCCAAACCCAAACTTACATCATATTTTGCTATAGCCAGAGGTGCTCTATGCAGTCTCTTCCAAGACTTGTCTGTTTCTTACGGGAGTCAGTTACCTTACGTGAGCTAGGTGCCTTACTTTTCAGTGGTGTATGCATGAACGGAAGTACTTATTCTTGTGTTTTATCTTTTATTCTAGGCACCCACTATTTCCCTTGTTAGCACTATTATTTGAAAAATGTGAACAATCTACGCAAGGCTCAGAAGGCACAACTTCTGCTAGTTTTGATGTAGATATTGAAAATTTTGTAAGGAAGCAGGAGAAAGAAGGAAAACCCTTTTTCTGTGAAGATCCAGAAACTGATAATTTGGTAAGTATAAGCCAGTTCTTTTATTTCTGAAACAATCATCACATTTGCCTCTTCTTCCTAATTTCTGATCTCAACTGGTGCTTATATTTTGTCCTCACATTTTTCTTCCTACAAGATATTCTTCTTTATGTTCATGCTGAGAAACTTTTTTTTTTTTTAATTTCTTCTGACTCTTTCCTTCCCTCGTGTCTGTAAAATTAGTAAAATTACACTGGGCTCTTAATCGCTATTTCCCATTCTGAACTGCCCGAGATCAGTGTATTAGAGATGAATGGAAACATCAGCTTGCCATAGCCAGGTTCACGCTGCAAATCCATTTTAAAGTGTCGAGTCTATAACATGTGTTTGTCAAAAACATGTAATCCATGTAAGTTTTTTCCAATTTTTTTTTTTTTTAATCAGGATTCATCTAGTTAATGTAGGAGAAGTGCTGTTATGAGTTTAGAAACTCTTTAACATATAAATTATTTTTCCTATATGTCATTGTCACGGCTTTCTAAAGTCCTTCCTGTGATGAAGCTGTGATATTGCCAGTCCCTTAGTCTTGAATCACATCTCTAGAGAACACCTGTCCTGGCACAATCGTTTCTAAACTGTCTACCTGCCTTGATCTCTTTAGAGTCATGTTGCAACTAGATTTTATCAGATTCAGGAGTGTTAGAATTAGAGAGGTCAAGTGTTTTGTTTCTTTTTTGAAAACCTGTTCTTTAAGGGGACTGTGTAACAAAAAAAAGTCTTCATCCTTGAGTCTGCCTTATAGGACAAAAGGCTACTTAAAATATGGACGTTCACAAACGAAGCTAAATTGATGGGAGATTGTAAACAGCATAAATGGTAATGTTTTAAAGCTGATGTCTAGGAAGATTTATGAGGGTAAATAATAGCCCTTGTGGGAGAATAAGGTAACGTACCTGGAGAAAATTCTTAAACAAAATGAAGACTTAAACAAGAAATAAATCTGAGATGCAGTTTAGAACTGGCAGGACTGTTGCAGCGAATAGCACGTTAGGAGGGGCACATATTGTAAACAAAAAAGGGGTCAATTTTGGCAATGATTAGAAGGTGACCCAAATCATTGCCCTTTGGAGTGATGGGAAAGCAGCTAAAGGAGGACTCATAATGATATTCTTGGTATTAGCGTAAGGATTCTCACTTTATTAATGAACTGAAGAACAGGCATTGGCCAATTTGACAAGAGTGACAGCTAGAAATCTCGATTAATGTCTTAATCATTAGATCCTTGTGAGCAAATGTTGAAGCAGCTCACCTGAGAAATATTTATCGATACAGACAGTGGCTTAATTTTCTAAGAAAGAGGCATTGACATACCTGCTAAAACAGTTCCATGAATGAATCCTGTAGCAGAATCACTGTTGTCACTGTAGGAACTAAAAATAGAATATGAAAGGAAAGAAAAAATTAAGGCAGGAGGAAAGAAACGATAATGCTCTTCTTCAGTTACTGCCCTAGTGTGAGCAGCAGTGGTGTGGGGTGCTTTCCTTTTTTAAACTTGCTTTTATTTGAAATGTGAGTGTTGCAATATTAGATTTATTAAATACTTGTAGCACAATACAATGATTGTCTTACATTTGTAAGCATAAATATTTAAGAAAGGTTATATGAGTCTGTGAAGTTCTGTTGAGGTGCAGAAATCATTGTAAATTGAGGGCCACTGGTACCATCATTTTAGGTCTTTCCTTGAACAGGAAAGCACTCAAGCAAATTTGAGTTTAAAAAAAAGAACAACCCAAAACACTATTGAGGAAAGAGATAAATACTTTAAAGAGCCATTAGTTTATGAGGAAGACTAAATCCATGCTAAAAACAACAGTTCATCACTGATGTTAATTTGCACATGTACAGAATCTTGTGGACCTTTGCTTGTTTGTCATGGTTTAATCCCAGTCAGCAACTAAGCACCATGCAGCCACATGCTCATCTCCCTCTCCCTCAGTGGGATGTGGAGAGAATTGGAGGAAAAATGTAAGAAAACTCATGGGTTGAGATATGAACAGTTTAATAACTGAAATAAAATAATGGTACTACTACTAATGATGATAATATGTAATGAAAAGGAAAAGAGCAAAAAGAGAGACAGACAAAACCCAAGCGGGAGGGGGGGAATCCAACAAGTCATACAGCTGCTCACCACCGGCTGACCAATGCCCAGCCAGTCCCCAAGCAGCGATCACCTGCCCTGGCCAACTTTTCCCAGTTTATATACTGAGCATGACATCTTATGGCATGGAATATTCCTTTGGTCAGTTTGGGTTAGCTGTCCTGCCTGTGTCTCCTCCCAGCTTCTTCTCCACAAGAAGTCCTTGGCTTAATGAAAGCATTACTTGGCAACAACCAAAACATGAGTGTTATCAACATTCTTCTCAGCAGAAATCCAAAACATAGCCTCATACTAGCTACTATGAAGAAAATTAAGTCTATCCCAGCCAAAACCAGCACGTTGTTAAAGAATTAAGTGTACGCAGAGTTCCCCAAATAACATACCACCTTTGGGATCTTGTGGTTAGACCCAGGTATCTAGAATGCAGACTAACAGGAATGCTTATAGTTTTGAAATTGCTTCTTTCTTTATCTCTTCCATTCTGTATTATGTTTGGGGTTTTGTTACCGCTATCAGTGACGCTTCTGGAGTGCTGCTTGCACATCAGCTGTGAATTTGAAGACACCAATAAAATTTTCCATGGCTCTTTGAAGAAAGACTTTTATGAACGTACTTGCCTCCAGTACTTTCCTGCAAAATGAGAGTTACTTCTGTTCTGGGTGAAGCAGGTCTTCTGACTTGCTAAGCCTCAGGTTATTTTCTTCAATTGTAACTCTCTGAATTCAACACAAATAAGACTGTTTTCCCTTATCTCTTTAATCCAAATTTCATTTAAGAAATCTAACGATACAAATATAGTTGTTATGGCTCAGTGGATGAAGAAAGAGCAGTGGGTGTAGTTTATCTTGCCTTTAGTAAGGCTTTTGACATTGTCTTCTAGAATGTTCTCATAGACAAACTGATAAAATACGGACTAGATAAACAAGGAGTGAGGTGGACTGAAAGCTAGCTCAGCTGCTGGGCCCGGACGATTGGAGTGAGCAGCATGAAGGCCAGTTACGAGCTAGTCATTAGTGGTGTACTCCAGGGATTGATACTGGAACTAATGCTGTTGGACATCTTCATCAATAATCTGGATGATGGGGCAGAACGTACCCTCGGCAAGGTCTGCAGCTATTCCAAAACTAGGAGGAGTGGCTGATGACCAGATGGCTGTGCCACCATTCAGAAGTACTTTGTCACTTTTGGAGAAAAAGGCAAACGGGAATCTCAGAGAGTTCAACAAAGGGAAACGCCAAGTCCTGTACCTGGGAAGGAATAATCCCATGCACCAGTGCACTCTGAGGGCACCAGCCAGCTGAAAAGCAGCTTTGCGGAAAAGGACCTGTGGAACAGGTCTGGGGAACACCAAGCCAAATATGAGACAGCAGTGAATCCTTGCAGCAAATAAATTCAACATACTCGGGCTGTGTTAGAAAGAGCATTGTCAACGGGTCAAGGGATGTGGTCCTTTCCCTCTGGTTGGCACTAGTGAGACACATCTGGGCTCCCCACTGCTAGACACAGACATATTGGAGTGAGTCCAGTAAAGGACCACAAAGAGGAATAGGAAACGACAGCATCTCTCATATGAAGAGACTCCGAGAGCTGGGACTGTTTTGCCTGCAGCAGTGAAGTTTATTTATCCCTTTAAGAAGGGATCTGGATATTATGAATGGATCTAAATACCTAATGGTGGAATAAAGATGACAGACACTGACTCTTCTCAGTGGCGCCCAGTTGAAAAGGCAAGAGGAAATGGACATAAATTGAAACACAGGAGGTTCCATCAAAACATAAGAAAAAACTCTTTTACTGTAAGGGTGATTGAATACTGGAGCAGGTTACCCAGAGAGGGTTGTGGGGCCTCCATCCTTGGAGGTAGTCAAGACCCAAATGGACATGGCCCTGAGCAACCTGCCCTAGTTGACCTTGCTTTGAGCCAGAGGGGTTGGATTAAACAATCTCCACAGGTCCCTTCCAACCTCAACTATTCTGTGGTTTCTGTGAGCCTTCAAAGATCAGTTCTCAAAGATCCTGCATGCCTTAGCCTGCTTCACATGCTTTTGGTTGTACACAAACATTCTCTCAGATCTAGCTTACTTCGGTTGTAGATGGCTCTGCTGCGATCAAATAGTCCTTCCTGCCGATTGACCTGTCTGTGATTTTAGTTGTGACAAAGTCTCTTGGTTTATGTGGTATTCACCTTTGTTGATGGGCTGCACAAATCCGTCTGATTTTACCTGAGGGAGGTGAAGGAGTATTTGGTTTTATCTTGTATTCCAGGGCTGCTGCGGTCAGTACTGTCTTAAGCTGGAACCACATTGCAGAATCAAAAATCTTTGGCATGGAACTCCTATTCTGTAGTCGTATTGTTAGCCATGACTTTCTATTACTAGATACCAAATGAAATCTGAGCGCAGCTTGCCCTCTGCCTGTCCTGAAGGCTGGGGACTCTGAACAGCTGACATTCTGACGGGCTGTTCGTTATCTCAGGGGCAATGAGCAGAAGAGTTTCTGTCTGGTTATGAAATAACCTAGTATGGTTTTTCAGTCTCTATGAAATGTTGGTGCTTGTACAGAGAAGGCTGTAGGTGGACAGTTTCTTATGCTTCGTGTCACATAATTATATACATTTTTATATAGATTAAAAATATTTTTTCAGTAGAGAGGGATTCTAATACTGTGCACATTTGTTATGTCTTCTTTCTTTCTATCCCTCTTTAACTCCAATCTTAAATCAACCATTCACTTGAAAGGAGAAACTAGTGAAGACTGCTAATTAGAACAAGCAGGAAGGGTGGAGCAGGTAGGCCACTTGCTTTCCACCTGTGCTGTTGTCTGACCCCAGCAGAGTCAAACAAATGACGGTGTAAATGCTTGCCCCGTAGCAATCATTCAG